ATCAGTTAACGGACTCCCGACGTGATGAAATTTGAAATGCTATCAATTCGCTCGTATATAAGTTGGTTATGCTTCTTTGGAGCCTTTTCTATTGTTTTGTTTCTTTTGATGTGTCAGAGTTACTATCTGCACAAGTCCTCTATTCACTTCAAAGAAATCTTTTTTCAAATTTGCTGTTTTTTAAAAGAAACTAATCACATAACACCTTTGAAATTTTATTTGAAAACATCTTGTTAGAGCAATATAATTTCATTGTATATTTTTCATACAGCTTATGAATGAAAAGAAGAAATTGCTGTATAGTATGTGAAGTATAGAAAATGATGTTATTAGCTATACACTTTTCAGAAATATCTGAATCATACTATCGTTACCTTGAACCATGTTCTGGAGCAAATTTGCTACAACCTCAATAATGTATTAAATTGAACCATGTTTTTTTTTTCAAAATGAATCATGCTATTGCGTAATGAAGTTTAAGGAGTAAGATAATACGGTTGAACTTAGTACTTGCATTTAAATTACGAAATGCTTGAGTGAATGTTAAAGCACAACACGCTCCAAAGCTTCTAACAATTTAGATTTGAACATTTTGCTTAAATATTCATTTAGTTTTATATTCCATAATGAATTTATATTCCGTAACTAAGTTGCTATTCGCTAAAAGAAAACAAACTCGTTATGCTCTGTTACAAATTTTATAAACAATTTGAACCATAATATCCTTTCAGCTCCATTAGATCTTAATAATGTGGTCCTTCTATGAGCTATATTATAAAGAGATATAATCAATTTCGGACCTTTATTGAACGATACTATGATTCAATTGGAAATTTGGTTCGGTTAAACACCTTATAACGAATGCAGTAAACTTGCATGATAGTATGACTACATGGAACCGGTTTTCTGGTTGATGGCATGGTTTCAACGAACCGATTTTTCTTATTGGAATGCATTTTAAATTTCGATGAAAAAAATTTCCTGGTTCGCTATCCTATCATTTCAATGCACTCGTCTTACGAATCTTACGCAGATAAATACTATAATATAATATTAATAATGTAATGTAATTATTGCGTAATAAGCGATACTGTGGACAATAAGCATATCATAAGAATGTTCTTTTAAAAATGACTTTCGGACAAAACCAATGTAAAAAGTGTGTTTATTTGTGCCTTAGGCCGTCTTTGCGAGCTGTATCCCTGAGATCATAGATTTAGTAGGAACTAGGCCAAAGTATGGCGGAGAGTTCCGTCAAGAACACGGCAAAAGGTACTGCTGTCATAACACAAACCACGTACCTCAATAGTCCATTGCATGAATGCTTCTTGCATGCTTAATTGGTGTTTCTGCTTCTTCTTGTTTAAAATACATCTATCGAAAAACTCAAAGTAAGCTTCCGGATCATTCCATTCCTCCATTAAATATTTAAAGATTTACAGACATTGCTTTGCGGATCTTCATCATCATAGTTGGCCAGACAGCCCAATGTGGGCCAATGTCTTCCTCTGAAGATTTCTCCATAACATCTTCCGATTTATCTTTGATCTCCAATTCTTTTCAGGTTTCGGCAAATAATGTAAGGGGCCAGGATAGCCTGATTGGTAGGCAAATGGGCCCATGTCCAAGGTGTTGTAGTTTCGATCTCTGCCGGTCGAAGACTTCCCGTGTAGTAAATGGTGACTGATGGGCGTTAAATCTGTCAGGACTCAAAGTCCTCCATCTTCCCATAACATATCATACCTCTGGTGGTGCTCATCCAGAAGTTTCCTTGTCTTCTGGATAGAGTTCAAAATTACAAGGCTACGAAGTTGATCATTAGCGGTCGTAAACACAAAAATTGGGTTGGCTGTTGAACGACGTTTAGAAAAAAAAAATTAATTACAATAAAATCAATCTCCACCGAGTCAGCCCATGTATACTGTGGTCTTTTCCGCTTTCTTTTTCCAGTGGGTCCAAAAAGCAATATATTTTTCATTGCATTGTCATCACACATTCGAATCACGTGGGCCATCCAATTCATTCTATTTGTTTTTATGTATTTAATTATACCGTGTTGCATATTTAATAATGCCGGATTACATTTTGTACAGTCCAAAACTATATCTCCTCCAGTTATTGTTTTCATTTACACCACCAAGTATACTCCGCGAAATCTTTCTCCGCTTTACGGATATTGTAGAATAGTTAGGCGCTAAGCATTCTCGCTCAGATATACTAAGACAATTTCGAGATGTTTTGAAACAAAATATCCAAATTCTAATGCAACTTTAAAAATAAAATGACCTGTATAGTAAGTAATAATAAGTAAAAAATAAAACTACAGCGTTATGTACGTTACGTAAAAATTTGAAAAGAAATTAATTTATCTAATGCTTAAAATATCGTAGTGATATTGGGCAAAAATTTCTTGCACTTTCTCAAAACATCGTTGATATTAAAATGACATCATTAATAAAGTTTAAAAAACAAAAAAATTTCTTAATCTGCAAAAACCTACATTTTGAGAGAAAAAGTAAATATTAAAGAAACGCGGGTCTCTTCTATTAAGAAACGTAATGATATTGATTAAAACAGTAATTAGCAGACTTTGTGTTTTCGATAGATGGATTTTCAAGTTCTGCTCAAAGCTAAACCCTTACCGCTTTGCCATGTTGTTATTGGCTTTTGCTTTCTTTCCTCACACATAAACAATCTTCATATTTCCGCTGGGGATATGGTTATTTTAAAACACTTTTTGTTTCTTTCTAAGAGAGTGGCAAAGGTTTATGCTCTAACTTAAATATTGGCATAATTTTATCTTTTTTCTTTCGAACTGTAAGCAAAAGTATTTTTTAAAAACTGAAAGGAAGTATTTTTCAAATACAATACAACAATTCTTTTTAAAACTATGAAGTGTTTTAAATAGTAAAACATAGTTTTTAAAGATTTCATAAAGGTATAAGTCACACGAAATACCCATTTTCCTGTTATTGTTTTAATAATATTCTATAGCTATGAAATTTCATTCTTGCCTTGTTTAATATTTTTGGCTACTTAAAAATTTGCTCTATCGAAGACATCTTGAATTTTGTATACTCAACTTGTATTCAAGTATAACAGCTTTGTATAGTCAAAGATAAATTTTGTCACTTGCTGAAATATACTTGTGATTATGATTTAGAAAAAAACAATGAGAGATAAAATATAGCAAAATTGTCAAATGCATGCATTACTTTGAATCATTACATATCATATCATGGCATTCAGATTATTTTAGTACATGTTGAACATAAGTTGTAAGATTTGTAAAGGATTTAAAAGTGTCAAGGATTTTGTAACCTCACACAAATGCCTCAAAATATTCATTAGATTCTAGAAAACTATTTTTGTTTTTTGACACTCTCAATACTATTTTTTCTATTTTCCGATAAAAAGACAAATTACGCCTTAAATATAGCAAATAAAGTAAGTGTAACAATATTCTCCTAATTAGACAAAACAGTCAGGTATCACAAAGTATCACAAAGCAAAGACAAAACAGTTAGTGCGTTCGTATAAAATTCAGGCTTACTTAGTCTATAGAGCTTATTTAGTCTATAGAGTCTGCGAGATATATGTGACCCGGTTAGACTGTAATATCTGCACTAAATTGCAGAATTGGGCATTTTACAGAATCGGAAGCTAAGACTAAATCCAAAAGACAAGAAAACTAGCAAAATTTTTTTAACACTAAAAATAATTGTTGGAAATTTTTATGTGTAAGTTTATGTAAGAACTATGTGTTTGTTAAAAAAAAGTATTTCAATACGTATTTTAAAACACATTATAAAAAATTTTTCAAAAAAACTAAACTCTGTGGCTCTATAGCCCATGGAGAGCCATGGCCTACTGTGCCCATCCCAATTTTGTTAATCTTGGGTTCTAGAAGGTCAGAAGACAGATGTTCCGGTTGGGTGGTCAGATCAGCTGCTTTAATTTATAAAGCTACTTTAAAATATTATGCACTCACACTAAATCTGAATGCTTTAGAAGATAATCAATTACTAAAACAATCCTAATATTATTTTAAGCAAGTAAAGTCCTAACTTCAAATTTATGAATGAATTTTTGTATATTAATATAAAATTCCATAATATAAAATGCAAAATTACCTAAACAATTTTGCGTAAAACCTTTTTTCAGTAAAAAATGTCCAAAAATTCATAAAATTTTGATTGTTATAAATTTACAAAACACTACTAAAGTCTGAAATTTTCCTAGATTTCATGAAAAAATATATCTTCAATTTCATTTGCTAAATCTTAGAAAAAAATTAAACTAATTTATGTCAAAAATAAACTTCTCGTTCGTCAAAATGCATTTCAAGAATCTACCTTAGAAAGGGACCGCAAACACTAATGGTTTGAAATGCTATTTTTGATCTTTGTTTTTAATAACAACTATTTGCATCTTTATAACTACTTGACACACATAATAAGTGATAACAGCGTGAAAAAAAGCACTAATAATATTTTATAAACAGTCATACAATCGCCTCGTTCTCGAAAGAAGAACTCTCTTCGAAATCGAAGCAAAGAGTCGCCGTAGAAATTACAAACAATTTACAACAAAACAAAAAAATTATAACAGACCAATAGGGTAGGTAGACAAGATTCATCAACAACCGATTCTGAAAAAGATGCTTTATCACAGTACCAAAATAATAATATGTCTGTTTACGAGTCATTATTCATAACCATTTCTCATTGTTTCCACTTGATTTATAAATAACCTTCCAAAGTTTATAAATAACCAAAATATTTATAAAATAACTAAGTTAAACCTTCTTTATTTGTTTACTATTTAAATCACTGAGCTCTTGAAAAATACTTTCCTTTTATTTTTCAATAAAATCTTAAATTCGCAATAATTTCTTAAAAAGAAAGCATAAAACCTTTGACCACGACATTTTGTACTTTCCTTATTTTTTTGTGTTGCTCATATTCGGTATTTCTGTCCGGTGACTGTGGGGCGCATAGGCAGTGTTCGCCAGCTGGATACCTGAAATTACAGAGCTGATAGGTCACCCGTCCAAATATGGAGGAGTCCTCAGAAAGGAAAGAGGCAAGAGGTAACATCTATTATTAATCCTCCCTTTTATCTTACATGCAGTCTCAAATCCCAACATCTGAAATTAAAATGCAGATTTTTCTTATGAATCATCACATCAATTGACTTGTTTCATTCGGGCTCTATTCAACACTGCCAAAAATTTAAAAAAATAAAGCTTAAAAAATATAAAAATAATTTCAAAAGATGTAGAATAATTTTAAAAAATATAAAAATAATTTTAAAATATAAAAATAAAAAATAAGAAAAAAGTTCAAAACAGTAAAACGTTGAACCAAAAAATTAAGCACACGAGCAAAAATGTTACTTTGGCGACTCTAGCAGAGGTCCTACCAGAACACGCAACGAAAGACTAATATTGGAATGTCTAAATTTTATTGCAGAGGACGAATGGTTACGATATTGAACCAACATTCATTTCCATCTAGAACAGGTAGAAACCATAGACACCCCAATGTGGGTCCTGCATTGTAAGCAAGCTATAAAGAAGCAGATCTAGGTTCAATAGAAATAGATCTAGGCTCGATATTGAAAGCAATTCTTGAAAAACCAATATTTTGAAATATAAACCCCTTAATCGAACTCAACATTATAAACTTATTAGAGTCCTAGGTAGAAATTAATGTTCGCCTAATATTAAAACCCATTCTAGGACTAATATTGTAAAATATGGACTCGCCAATATTGACTAGACATTACAAATCTACTACATGCCTAGACAGAAATGAATCTTGGTCTAACATTGAAACCCATTCCAGAACTAATATTACAAAATATAGACTTTTTAGTGTTAGCTTTTATTGTAAGCTTATATTTTTAATGTAGCTTCAAATGACGAATCGAAAACCTTCCATAAGCTTATAACAGAAATGTACAAAATGGCTGTGAGCCAACTTTTTTTAAATTAGTTCAACGATGTTATCATACGCTACCTTGAACAATAAAACAATTTTAATTTGCTGCAATTCACATAAGATGTTGAATTGATATTTTTGTTCATGTTAGATTATGGACGGAGAATAAAAGTTTTGGTAAATTTACCGCACTGAATAGTTAATACATTCAGCTGAAAAATTATAATTCTAACTATAATTACGAGATTATAGTATATTTCTTCAATATTTCTGACAACTTTTATTACTTGCTTTTTACTACTATGGCAGCTCAAACGCATTTTTGCTCAATACAAGCTAATCAAGCAGCTACTTAAATGTATCAAAATACATAGTAATAATACTCTACAACATAAACTAGTTTTTCTGAAATATAATTTGATTGTATTTAATGTAGGAAGCGTGAAAATAATTTTGACAAAGGAAAACAGAGCAAGATTTATATTGTCAACTATTATTTACAAAAACTATATTTTCAATAATTGCATATATTGAATACAATAATCGAGAGATTTTGCATAGAGTTTTTCATACGTTAACTGTAACGCTATCTTTAATTTATACCCTTTAGTAATTCTACTATTTGCAGGGTAGTGTTCACGCTTGCGCTGTAATGCTTAAATAGTGTTAGAGTTACAAAAATCGTAATGCTAGGCAAAATCTTAACGAAATGAGAGAGATTTAGCACACTGATACGGTTTTCCGCTAACACTATTTAGACTTTATAGCACATGCGCAAAAATTTCCCTAATGATCAACAGAATGGCTGAGAAATAGAAAATAAGATTAGCGTCATGGTTTTCATGAAACATATAGTATGCAAAATCTTTCTCATAAGCAAAGAAATGTTTTCTGTCAAAAAATAAAAACATTAGATTTTTTTTCTCCATAATTCATGAAAGCAATTTATTAATCAAATTTAAATTTTTATATCTGAACTCTTACTGTATAGTATCATGAATAGAATAATTACACATTTGTAATAATATTATTTATAATAATAATATTTATAAGGCATTGTTCATAATAATATTAACTTTAATATCTGATGCAGGGTAAGCGATTATCAATACTTTGCTGTTAATATTCTTGTGATGATTTATAAGAGGTCTGTCTAGACCAACATTTAGTCTTTTTATAGATAGATAGATAGAAACAAGTTATGATAGAAAAAACAGGCTTTATAGACTCCTTCTCTAACCAATTCTAACAACTCCAACCTTTACAGAAGCCTAGGAAAATAGCTTAAAATAAAAAAAAGAAGTCCCCTTAACTCAGTTCCTATTTCCTTAAAACCCAAACGTATTCCTTACTTTTATTGTCTCTTTTTTATTACTTTTTCAAAACTTAAGTAATTAGTTTTTATTCTGCTCTAATTGATGTTGTAGATATCAACATTAATTTTCTAAACGCATTATTCTTATTTATTTTTTTTACAAATTTCTTTAAAATGTTAGAATTAATCCACTATTATTTTTGTCTGATATTTTTGCTTCATGAAAAGTGTAAAAATAGTTTAAATTATTAAAACTCTAAATGTTGCTTTGTGTGTTTTAAAGTGAGCAAATGGAACAATTTGCTATAAAAAGCTTAGAAAGCGCTTGCAATTTGCGCCTGCACATGCTACTGCATAGTTTTTCATTCTGCTGCTTTATTGTGTATCTTTGATGGCTTTGGATATGCTTAATTCATTCTAGCTGCAATTGTTGTGCGTATTAGAGAGTAGAATTATAATGTTTTTACTCATTTTTTAATACTGCTCCACTCATTGTATAAAAGCGTCGACATTAATAAATTTAAATAATAATTGCGCGCTTAGCTACTACTATGTACTTTAGAAAATGCCCAATGATTTGCGAAACCAATCACGGAAAAACCAATGAAGATAGAAATCTATGTTTTACAGCATTCTGCTTGGGATAACAAATTCATATTCTCCTCAAGTATCAAATTTATTCACAAAGTTCGACAACTGATGAGCCTGCCAGCTAAAAAGTCTACCAAAAAAATTTCATAACCTCCATTTCCGACAGCAACGTGATGTATTTTGGAAACAAAATTATTCAAATATTTAATGCATTGAAAATATTGTTTTATAGTCCTTCTTTAATGTAGATCAAAATTCTGGCAAATTTATAGTACTGTAACCATAATTCTGGTAATAAAACTAAAATATACTGTTAAAACATTCATTTAATAATTTTTCTGTTTATATGGTAACGGTTTACCGGAAATTCTGTTTTTCTACAGTATAGTTCTTATTACCACACATTTAGTAAAAAGTACGAAGCTGAAAGTAAATTTAACCAAATAAATGGTTTTTATGCCATACTTTAAGGCATCATGATAAAATAAAATTTTCGAAATTTATCATATATTAAGCAATCATATTTTATTGTTAATTCTACCAAAATCATTATCAAAGCGTTTTGGTAAAAATTACAGAGCATTTTGTTATTCCCATAGAACCAGAAACTATATTCTGGTAAGTTTTTATGCTTTTTTTTTTCGGTGTTGTAGAGCAATCTCATCTGTAGACGAACTTTACAAAATACATTTGAAATTAGGAGAATAAATACTTGGTTAACAAAGCAGAAAGCAGCAAATCGTACAATTCTGTCTGCTTTCATCATTTCGTTTGAGCATTGCTTTCATCATATCATTTGATTTCTTTAAGCATCCAGACGCTTTAAGAACACCCTGTAATTTCTTACAATCAATAAGAAGAATCTTTAATGTCGAGCTTTTAACCAATGTGGTATTTGTGAAATGTGTGCATTGTGCTAAAAATATTTTATATTTATGTTTATTTTATTAAATGTAAAAATTATAAATTATTGCAGTAATTCCATACATCCAGAAAACTTTTCTTAAAACCTTACACACAAAATTATTTTGTAACAAAATATTACCTACAATATTTGTATTTTCCTACCACTGAGATTTTTGTTTTTATCACCCATTATTTATATTGTGCATCCCTGTAACGAATTTTGTCATTTTGAAAATAATCAGACAGTGAAATATAAAATAACTTATTTTGCGTGGTAATAATCGATAACTTAAAACATTTTGAACATTGTTTGAAATCTATCGGCTGTAGTATACATTTTTAATAGTTATAATATTTTATAAAGCTGTTTTTTAGATAATAATAAAATTTATTTATCTAAATATGTCCAATAGATATTCAATTTCAATTTTTATCAAAGATACTATCTTAATTTCGATGAATTTTAAATCAAGTTATTTAAGTCTAACTATATTTACATTTATTAAAAAATTAATAAAAATATTTTCCATGCTTTAATGACAAGTCTTCATTTAAAATAAACATTATGAAACTATATGTTTTTCTTATTGATTCTATGAAAATGCTAAGTATAAAAATTCAAAACATAAAAAAGTATTGCCAAATATTTGAAAAAAAATATACCTGTTAAATACCTATTGGATATCCCATTTTTTATGAATGAATATACCTTTGTGGATCACATAAAAGTAAATTATAAATTAATTAAAATCGAATTTTAATAGCCACTTTTAATGTGAAACATATTTTGCCTTGAATTAAAGACTTAGGATATAAAAAGCGAATGCATTAATAAATTAACATAAAATGAGAAAATGAATATATTTATTCAATACACTTTGGTTTAAATTATGAAAAATAAATAATATTAAATCAAAAATAGTTTCCATAGCATGTTTGTTTGTTTCATGGTATCAATACTTTTAACTGAATCTTAATAACTTTTTTCTCACAAAACACAATTTACGAACTTACAATAAAAACAAAACATGATTTAAGCATAATATTTTACTTTTTATGAGATGGAAAATAATATACAATAAAACCTTCAAAAAATTTAATTTTTATTTTTTGGGGAATCTTTATTATAGTTCAAAATAGGCAAACATTTATTAAAAATATTAATGTCAATAAAAGTTATGAATTGCTGTATCCATAAAAAATCCCCAATGAATTGTTATGAAATGACATTTCACTTACAATGCATATAAATAGTAACTTTGTTGTGTAGCTTTAGTTTGCTGTAAAAAAGTGTTTTACTACCAATTGTGTTTGGTTGCATTAACGACAATGCTGTCATCATTTCAAATAAACTTATAAATTAATTCATTTCAAACACCATACGTGAAACATATTTAAAAATGTGATAAGAACTTCAAAAAAAGCGTTACGCGAAACCATTTTAATTTCGTTTTTAAACAATATTGAAATGACTCGGAAATATTAGAAAAAGGAAAACTTCTCTAAAAAATTTACTTTTTGAATTATATGTACCATGAAAAAATAAATGTAACAAGTAACTGTCCTTGATACGACTTTCTGTAATTGGCAGTTTTACTACGCTCAGAAAATATTTTTTTAAACTATGCAATTAAAACTACTCAAAACTAAATTCAGTTTTTTTTTTAAAATTTGGTTTCAGTTTTCAATTCACTGGCAAATATTGAAAACTTTAAGAAAGAAATTTAAGCATTTTCTCAAAAATATATTTATTTAACTTTTCATTCATAAAAGTTGATGTAATTATTTTTTTTAAAAAAAATTCAAAGTCCTTAGTAATGAATCACATTCAACAGCTTAGAGATTTAAGAAAAAAACTATGCAAAAGCTAAAATATAATTTAATTTGTAGTCGAAAAAATTTCCATCTTGACAGTGCAATTATTTCCCCTGTCTTTCCAAACGACCTAACGCCCCCTCCCCCCATCTTTTTCAACATGCCTGTATTAAAGTTTTTTTTTCTGCCTCAGGGGTACTCTCTATCATATTTAAACTCTTTTCATAAAAAGAAAAGCTCGTCGTGGTGGAGATGTCTTTATCGATGAAGGCAACTTTATTATTATTTTATTTTTTATCTTCCAAACACTCTTAAGTAATAGCAGTTTAAAAACTTCCTGAAAATAAAATTTGTTGAATGCAAAAATGGGTTTGGCAGTAAAAAAAAAAATATTATCATACTTTTCCTGTTAAAGATTTTTACGAAAATATTCCATTAAAAAAAAGCAAAGTAAAAGAAAAGTTGAACGGTGAAGTCCCGCAAGCATTTTTATGGGAGATTTTATTAAGTGTCCCAAACCATTTTGACAAAGCCTAAAATAAGTTTATTTTACGACAAGACTCCCTTGTTTATTATATATATCACATGATAAGAACTCAGAAAGCAAATAGTTAATGAAATAATGTTTAATATAAAATATCTATTATTAACTTAAAAATTTTTAACACAAAAAATTTTACAAATTTTAAATAAAAAGAAAAATTTTAAAAGTAATTAATTAATTAAGATAAAAACAAATTAACCACTAGAGGACCTTATCTTTTTTTTCATTCTCATGGATATGTTTGAAAATAAAGGCACTTTCTTGTATTGTGTCAATATTGTGAATTTTAAATATATTAATACAGCAGAGTGAGCAAAACCAGGAAAACGAGACCAACTTTTATGTAGGAAATTCTTTTAATCTAACAACTTTAATCGAAAATTTTATTCTGAAGCAAGCTTATCACGGAATATTTTTTGTCGGGTTAGAGAATGCTTTTAAGCTGGATTTGTTTAATGCAAAAGCACAATATCTCATACTTATTGCTTCGTTATTGTAACTTCTAATTATTAAAAACCATCTATTTTATTAAGAAATCAACTTGGTTTTATTATGTGAAAACTCATTTAGTTAGTTTTTCTGTTAGGAAGCAAAATATATTCGAATTATTAACTTAAACATTACTCAAATATCTGCTATGCAATTTGTCAGTATTACTGAAACATATCCGTAACACAAAACTATGTTTGTCTTAAATCTGATCAGCATTTCGCAGTTGATTCCTTCTAACATGAGTATTTTTGCCGTTGGTTAGTTCGACGGCTTATCATTAAATCTATAATAGTTTAGACCTATTGACAATTATGTTTTACAAAACAGCCTTTTAAAATATAATTACTTCATGAATTTAAATTGCACTTTATACGGAAAAGGGAAATATATTTTATCATTGGTCAGTTATGCTGTGTTTATAACAAGTAATTTACAAGTTAATAAATCCTATCAACTGACAGTGTAGACTTACATCATAGAACTTCACTGTTAAACAGTATTTAGATTTCAATTTAAAAAATCAGCTTAACATTAAAGGAACATTAACATTAAAATGAAAAGTTAAAATTAAAATCAGTTCATATTCTTGAAAAAATTAGAGAATTGTACTTTAAAGTGCGAAAGAATAATAAAATAAGAAAATAATAAAGAATAATTAAAAAATAAAGGAAATATAAACGAAAAATGAATGGAATTCAGAAAATCTGCTTGAGACACCCAATTTGCATTCATGAAGAAGATTTTCTGTGAATAACTGCTTAATAAAACAAAAGACCGTTATTCGTGTCCCTAAGTCCCATTTAGAAAAATGCATAAAATATAAAAAAAAAATAGATTCAATACATTAAAACTAAAACAATTTATGTACTAAAAATGAACAAAGTATACAGGTAAAAATTCAATATACTCACAAAGAACAACATACCATTCTAAAGCTTATTTAAAATTGAAGTAGTCGTGAAACGCGTCAAATTAGCATTTAAAAATTACCATTGCCAAAAAAATGAACATAAAGAAAAATTTGTGGCATTAAATCGAAATAATAAATTGTTGTGGGTCGTTGTTAAAATCGTTTTATCATTTTAAGCTCTACAATCTAACCAAAATACAACGCCTTAAATTTCTGAGGAAGTGTTTTAAAGTTGATATGTCATGTAATTTTAGACACATTGTGGTGTGCGGGCACATCAACTATGACTCCGTGTCCTACTTCTTGAAAGACTTTCTTCACGAGGACAGAGAAGATGTAGACGTTGAAGTCGTCTTCCTTCATAGGTAAATATTTGTTTAACAGTTTTCTTATAATATCATCAGAACTTTAAAATTTACTTGAATTATATTATAGCAATAAAAAATTAGAGAATTATACTTGAATTGAAAAAAAAACTGAAATTGAACAAAAGAGAATGAATGCAATACAGGTCTTCTTCATAGAACAGTTGCATGCATTTATGTTGGAGCTTTTCTCTTAGTTACATGAATGCAATACAGGACTTTACTGAATGCAATACAAGGAGTTACTGTTTAGAAAAAATAAAAGTGTTATTCTTGTCTAAAAGCTGCATTTGAAGGTAGGTAGGTACTTTATTTATGTAGCATTAAAGTTGTCTATCAGTGACGGTCAGGGAAACATCTTTGAGGATAATCTAATGACATTTCAACACAATTTTGATCCTCTGCGAGTCCCGCAGTGGACTGATCGTTAAGACACGGTTCCCAGCAGATCACCAAAGTCAAGCATCACTAGCTGCTGGCTGTCAGTGTGCGGGTGGGTGACCACTTGGATCAGTCTGCGTAGGGACCGAGGGTGTGCGGTATTGGTCCTCGTTAAACTGTTCTACCGTGAAGTGCAGGTCGTCGGGCTACCGAAGCGGGGGTGCCATCCCCTCTGCAGAGGATCAAAATTGTGATGGCATGTCTTCGGATCATCCTGAAGGATGTTTCCCAGACCGTCGCCAATAGCCCATTGTGCAGCTCCAGTGCGACGTAAATGAGCTACTACTATTACTACTACTGATCCTCTGCGAAGGGGATCGAAATTGCTTTAGTAGCCCATCGGCCACCAACGAAGTTGAGCACTTCACTGTTGAACAACTTAACGAGAACTGATACCGTGCACCTTTGGTCTCAACACAGGCTGTTCAAAGTGGTTTACCAGCCGCTTGCCGATGCTTGACTTCAGTGTTCTACTTTGAACCCTGTCTTCACGAACAGTCCACTTGTTGCAAGCCGCATTTGTAAAAACACTTAAAACATGAAAAAAATTACTTCACATTCAATACATGTCAATACAAGGTCGTATAAACAGCGTGAAGATGTGGTAAACCGCATCATTTGCAATTGCCAATATAATCGCCGGATATCCATGTAGGATTTTGCTTCAATAAAATCTTTTCTTTTACGATAAGAACTTGTCTGGGTGATTTCAACTTTGCAACATCATATTCTCTTAAAATTGTATGTGCCTCAAAGTGCCCAAGTGGTCAATTAGCAGGAAAGTATATTTTAGTTCGAGTATTTTAGTTCTCGAGTCTCTGATCAAGGACAAATGAGCATTTTAAATAGTGATAACAACCTTTTACTCTGAAATGAGTAATCTAGGGCGAACTCTCTAGCTGCATACATGCAGCTAGAGAGTTAAAAACTGTTCTCATCTTAAACAGATTTTGGAATTCAGGAGAGGATTCCAGACTTCCAGAATGTTCTTAATTTCAAGGAGATTTCCAGAACTTTTTAACAAAAACAAGGAGTACTCTCTTTGCTACTTTATTTAGCAGACTGCGAAAAAAACACAATCGGTACTTTTGCGACAGTATAACATATTTTATTTTATTGTAAACTGCTGTTTGTAGAAAATGCAACACCATGAAGGAATCATCAGAATCAAATGAAATATTATTTTAATAATGGATATAGGATATTATGCAAATTAATAAAGTTTCAGAGCCATCGCGCGTGCGTGGCGCGCGCAGCGCCCTCTGAATTGATGCTGAAAGCGTATAAATAAAGTGCTGTAGCGGGACGTTGAAAATAGTCTATGATTATTTGTTAGTGGCAAACGTTTAGTGAGACCTGAGTATGCCTCCACGACGGAAGAATAAGAAATTCAAGCAACTTACGGAGTTTGAACGAGGGAGGATAATCGGCCTTCGAGAAGGAGGATTTTCCTATCGCGCAATAGCAGCTCGTATGCAGCGGAACAGTTCCACAGTGATGCGAGTTTGGAAGCAGTGGACCGACGAGCACCGAACAACTCGAAAAACAGGCACTGGACGACAGAAGGTGACGTCAGAGCGCGATGATCGACACCTGCTCCGCATGGCGGTGAATGATCGCACAGCTTCCTCCAGGCAGCTGGCAGCACATTGGTCTACTGCTACAGGTGTACAATTGTCGGCTTCGTCAATTCGTCGTCGTCTGCTGCGCCGTGGATTGCGTGCAAGGGTGCCATTATACAGGATTCCCCTCACGGCGGATCATCGACGGCTGCGTCGGCAGTGGGCTCTTGAGCACAGAGACTGGCGAGCTGATTGGCACCAAGTTGTCTTTTCAGATGAATCACGCTTCAATTTGTGGACCCATGATGGCCGTGTTCGTGTTAGACGTTATGCCGGTCAACGCTGCCTTCCTGAGTGTATTATTGAACGACATAGTGGTCGAACACCCGGAGTTATGGTCTGGGGTGCGATTTCGTATCATGGACGATCCAATTTGATACGAATTGAGGGTAATCTCAATAGCAACAGATACGTCCGTGAAGTGCTACAGCCCGAAGTCGTTCCTTTCCTTCAAGGCATCCCTGGAGCTATCTTTCAGCAGGATAATGCACGCCCACATGTTGCGCGGACTGTTAGAGACTTCTGTTCAGCACAACGCATGCAACTTCTTCCTTGGCCTGCTTATTCGCCGGATATGTCGCCTATTGAGCACGTGTGGGATATGGTTGGTCGGCGTCTCACTCGTGATCCGCGTCCTGCAGTTTCCAAAGACGAACTTTGGTTGCGCATACAAGCGATATGGAATTCTCTTCCTCAAGCAGATATTCAACATCTGTTTGACTCCATGCCACGTCGTATAGCAGCACTTATTGCAGCGCGTGGTGGCTGCACCAAATACTGATTTCGGACGCTTAATTTGTTTCTTTTGTTTTGAAAATTTCATCATTTATTTGTATCAGTACAAGTCGTTTCTGCATTAAATTTCATTTGATTCTGATGATTCTTTCATGGTGTTGCATTTTCTACAAACAGCAGTTTATAAACGTCGTTGAACAGCCGACCCAATTTCAGGTTTACAACTACTAATGACTCCGTAGCCTTGTAATTTTGAACCAATCCGGAAAATAACGAAATTCCTAGATCAGTACTCCCAGAGGTATGATTTGTTATGGAAACGTGGAGAACTTTGTGACTCGACAGATTTAACGTGCATCAATCACCATTTACTACACGTGGAATCTTCAGCTGACTGGGATCGAACCCCTGACTCCTTGGACATGCGCCCAGTGCTCTACCAACCAATCTATCCGGGCTCCGTATAACATATTTGATGCAAAGACAAAGTCTGAAAAATTATTTCACTGGCTATCTGCAACCCATCAGCATAATTTTTCAAAATTGCCACATCATTATAGCATAATTCAAAAAAAATCTGCACAATTTGTAGGGTTTTACTCATAAAAATATTAATTTAAATAACTTCGAAAGGTTTTTGGTGAGCATGTGATGAGGGTGAAGGAAAAAACAGCAAATTCGCTGGCCCCACAGCAATTTTTTTATGTTTCTCAACTATCTTATTGCCTAATTTCAAAATACTAGGTTGCTTTATAACAGTCTATTGTAAACATTCCCCAATGAGTGATATATGACAGCCGTAAGAGATGGTTATAAGATACTGGTAGGACGAATTACTGCCATCCTGTAAGAAAGTAGTAAACAGCAAAGAGAGAAATGTTTCTGCCATCTAAAAAAAAAACATCACGTATCAGCATTATTCAGACAATAAAGTGATGTGAGCTTCTAAAAAGAATGTTCACTTTTTGGTTCGTAGAAATTCGATAGTAAAGTTCATATAGAAAAAGGTATCAGTGAGTTGTATTTTTAAGCTGAAGGTAATTACCCAACCTCGAAATATGATCCCAATAGTTTAGTCAGGAGAGCGCGCCTAAGTTTAGTCTCCTTAATGTTAATTTTAACTTTTTCGTATTTCGTTAAATCTCGAGAACTTTTAGAGCGAATTGAAAAATTTTGACACACAATTACAAAATTCGTTTATCTAAAGATAATTCTATCAAAAAAACAATTCTATTATTATTTTTATTATTTATTTTATTTAACAATTTTCGAAAATATTTTGGGTTCTAAGGTATACAAAGTTTTACATCATTTTAAAGAATATAATTTTACAAAGCAAATTACAAAATTTGAGCATAATCGGTCAAATAGTTCCTGAGAAATCGAATTTTAAATATCTGACTCTTTTAAAGTAAATATGTTGCTGAATAGAAATATGTAGCATGGAATATTTTGAATAGAGAAATAGCACATGACTGACTTATAAATGCAATAAAATAATTTTTTTTTTAAAAATTGATGATAAAATAATTAATATTAATAATTTCTTTAGTAAGTTCTAATTACAACGTAAAAAAATCAAAAATTTCAATTTTTTGCACTTTTTACAAATTGTAGAATATTTTTGTAGGGTAATTCTTAACTCAAATAATAATGCCATATAGCACCCGAAGGTAACTCAGATCTAATTTCTTACATTTTTTATAAATTTTCTTAATCATTCAAAACTGCAATCAGCAAGAGTAGATTCAATTATATTTATGGATAAGAAACTGAGTGTATACAATAAAAAGATTCTAAACCCGGAACAGAATTTCGAAAACTTCCGGTGTATTCCTGCGCTTTTGTTATGTCTTCAAGATGATGTCTTAACAGGCTTAAGTAGATTAATCACTGAGCTTTGTGTTTAAAATTGTAATTAATTTTACCATTCATAAGATTTTTCTGTATTTTATGAATTCTAAATGTTTGAGAACAACAAATTGATTTAAGGAAATTAATGTAACAAAATAACATAGAAACTGTAAGGCTTGCAATATTTTGAGTGTTATTTTCTTAGCTAATGTTATTTCATGCATTAGGTTCTTAAAAGATAAATAATACTAAAACTTGAATTCAGCACAAGTCATTTTGTAAATAATACAATAACAATACGCTTGCTATTTTTAGATTAAGGATAAAAATTAATTAAATTTGATAGTCCGAAAGTTTTGTTTCGAATTTTAACTGATAGCGTTTCCTGTGCTTAGCTTTGTGCAGTTCTCCATCCATATATGAAAAGGCACACGGAGAAAAAAATTCAGGTAAATTTACGTTACTGATATGACATTTCTAGTAAAAAAAATAATTCTGGTATTAAAAACCAAAATATAATTCATTCATTTAATAATTTTCATATGGTAACAGTTTACCAAAAATTCTGGTTTTCAAAATTATAGCTCTTATTACTACACATTTAGTAAAAAATTCAAAACTCAAAAGTAAATTTTACCGAATTAGTGGTTTTTATGACATGCTCTAAGGCAGCAGTTCCCAAATGATGTTCCGCGAAACCATAGAGTTCCGATAGTATAAATTTTTTGAACCAGTAGCAATTTTTGAAACTTGCCATTATTTTCATATCCAAACAATAAACCATCATTTTTTTATCCAGCTTATTTATAATAAATTATTTAAGTAAAATAACAATAAAAATACGCTAATTTGTTTTAAAAAATATTTCTTCCAACTATAACATATTAAATAAATTACGATTTTTCTTAAATGCTTTATGCATTTGTAAAGAAAAATAAGAAGAAAGTTGCAATCTTATGATTAAAAAAATTTACCGCTGATCTAAGTTACCATAAAAAATTACCAAATTTTACCACATTTACCAAATTATATCTCACTCTATGAAACCATATTTTATTGTCAATTTTACTTAAATCATTACCGAAGCACTCCTGTAAGACTTTCCAGAGAAAATTTAAATTTTACCATATTCTGCTCGTTTTGGCCATGCGTTATTTCTCAGTGCATGCAAACAGGAAACTCCACCAAATTTCTTCCTCGGAAATCAAATTTTCATATAGGGGTCCTATAATCAATTACAGTTGCTGTTTCTTTGATATAAATTTTTTTTTATTTGTTTGATTTTTTTAGAAAACCTCCTGACCTAGAGTTGGAGGGTCTCTTCAAGAGGCACTTCACGACAGTCGAATTTTTTCAAGGTACCGTCATGAATCCTGTTGATTTGCAAAGAGTAAAGGTAAATATATGTTTTTTGCATGCTTTTTAATGTACGCATATGTTTAAGAAAAATCAAATTTCGTGGTTAATATATGCTTAATATATGCCTTTAAATATGCTCATTAGCTTACGAAAAATCTAATTTCGTGGTAAATATATGTTTTATGCATACTTTTTAATGTACGCATATGTTTAAGAAAAATCAAATTTCGTGGTTAATATATGCTTAATATATGCCTTTAAATATGCTCATTAGCTTACGAAAAATCTAATTTCGTGGTAAATATATGTTTTATGCATACTTTTTAATGTACGCATATGTTTAAGAAAAATCAAATTTCGTGGTTAATATATGCTTAATATATGCCTTTAAATATGCTCATTAGCTTACGAAAAATCTAATTTCGTGGTAAATATATGTTTTATGCATACTTTTTAATGTACGCATATGTTTAAGAAAAATCAAATTTCGTGGTTAATATATGCTTAATATATGCCTTTAAATATGCTCATTGGCTTACGAAAAATCTAATTTCGTGGTAAATATATGTTTTATGCATACTTTTTAATGTACGCATATGTTTAAGAAAAATCAAATTTCGTGGTTAATATATGCTTAATATATGCCTTTAAATATGCTCATTGGCTTACGAAAAATCTAATTTCGTGGTAAATATATGTTTTATGCATACTTTTTAATGTACGCATATGTTTAAGAAAAATCAAATTTCGTGGTTAATATATGCTTAATATATGCCTTTAAATATGCTCATTGGCGTACGAAAAATCTAATTTCGTGGTAAATATATGTTTTATGCATACTTTTTAATGTACGCATATGTTTAAGAAAAATCAAATTTCGTGGTTAATATATGCTTAATATATGCCTTTAAATATGCTCATTGGCTTACGAAAAATCTAATTTCGTGGTAAATATATGTTTTACGCATACTTTTTAGTGTACGCATATGTTTAAGAAAAATAAAATTTCGTGGTTAATATATGCTTAATATATGCCTTTAAATATGCTCATTGGCTTACGAAAAATCTAATTTCGTGGTAAATATATGTTTTACGCATACTTTTTAGTGTACGCATATGTTTAAGAAAAATAAAATTTCGTGGTTAATATATGCTTAATATATGCCTTTAAATATGCTCATTGGCTTACGAAAAATCTAATTTCGTGGTAAATGTTTTATGCATACTTTTTAATGTACGCATATGTTTAAGAAAAATCAAATTTCGTGGTTAATATATGTTTAATATAATAGCCTTTAAATATGCTCATTAGCTTACGAAAAATCTAATTTCGTGGTAACTATATGTTTTATGCATACTTTTTAATGTACGCATATGTTTAAGAAAAATCAAATTTCGTGGTTAATATATGTTTAATATATGCTTTTAAATATACTCATTAGCTTACGAAAAATCTAATTTCGTGGTAAATATATGTTTTATGCATACTTTTTAATGTACGCATATGCTTAAGAAAAATCAAATTTCGTAGTTAATATATGTTCAATATATACTTTTAAATATGCTCATTAGTTAACGAAAAATCAAATTTCGTGGTAAATATATATTTTATGCACACTTTTAAATATACGCAAAGGTTTAAGAAAAGTCAGCTTGCATGGTAAATATATTTTTTATGCATACTTTTTCATATACGCATACGTTTAAGTTTTTTTTCTCGAACTCCACAACTATAATATTGAAAAACCCATCGTTTCAAACGCGAAATAGAGCTAATAAAAACGGGATATAAAAACAAAGAAACATAATATAGATGTGCTTCTAAAGTGCACGCACGCAATTATTTATTCAAAATTTTAACTTAACGATAAATTAATGTGAATGTTCTTTTTCAAAACAAGCGATTAAAATATTATAAGAATAACAGAGAGGAATCTTTTTTCTTCAATTTTTCCTTATTTTTTTTCTCTTTATTGCATATTATTTGCGATTTAAAAGCTCATTTTTAGAACACCATAATTTAAAAGTAAAATTTTTTTCCACACGAGAACGTCATTTAGTCTTTTCTTTAATTTAAGAAAGGACACGGAAATGCTATCTTTAATTCAAAAATACTTTTAAAATAAAGAAATGTTCCGAAACTATTTAGAGAAAAGAAATGAAGTAAAATGCAGAAGCACATTAAAATCCGAAACTATTTTAATCCATTTAACCCAAACATGGAAAAAGACTAAAAAAAGATAGTTTTAATCAAATTTTTTGTATTAAATTTCAGTGCAAGAAGATGGAAAAAGTTAAATCAAAAATTGTTCAATTGTTAAATGAAAAGTTTTTTTTAAAATCTTTTTAAGAAAAGTCCGGATTTTTTTTCAAAGTTAAAAATGAAAAATGTGTCATTTGCAGTCCATTTTTAAATTAATAACAATAAATACAAAGCTAGAAAAAACTTTCAATCCAGTAAAAAAGTTATGAGAAAATCAAAATGAAAATAAAAGGGATTGAAATATTTTTATATCATTATTTTTTTTAAGAGATAATGCAAAAAGCAGGATTTATAATTTTATAGTTATCAAAAAATAGTGATATGTACAGACTTAGTATTTCAGCCTAAATAAAAAACTAAAAGCCAACATTAGAAAAAGTGTATAAAAATATTACAAAAAATTTAGATGTTTGTGTAAAAGCCATTTTTCCAAATTACTTCAAATATTCTAGTTTTCATGTTTGAAACTAGTTTTCGACTATGTTTCGAATATGTTTTATGTCATTCATCTTCGATAGCAAATTTCTTTTGTATTGATGAGGTAAAGTGCCTCCCAATTACATAAACTCTTCGTGCCAAGTCACCCCTTGAGTTCTCTTTTAAGCTGATGTCTGGAGACTTAGCTGGCCATTTCAAAGTTTCAGCATTGTTGTTTGGAAACAATTTCTTGTAGAATTATATGAATTGATTTTTACAGTGTTTACTATTATATCAACTTTCACCTTCAAGAAATTCAGTATTTTGCAAAATCTGACTTCCTAGAACGTTTTAGTAAGCTCGTAAATTCATTTCTCCCGTAACGAATGCAATTGAACCCACGCCTTTGTCAGCAAAACAACCCCGGGTCATCACAGAACCTCCGCCTAATGAACGCTTTGAGAATATTTCTATTTCTTTTTTTTTTTAAAAAAAAATCCTGCCAATAATACTTCTATTGAACTGATCCAGCCAAATACCATTTTCTTTCATCTGAAATTTTTTTATATCCATTGTTTGCGCCAGGTTAGACTTGCAGGCTGTGGTTTAAACACTCTATTCTGTGCCTCTGCAGCAACTCAGGTTTAGTCGATTTTTCTATATAAACTAATCTTTCAGACCTTCAAATTAAGTTATACATCGCGTTTGGTCAGACATTTAAACTTGAGCCGTGATGGCTCAGGTTTGCCTTCCAGTGAGGTGAACGGGCTCGAATCCCAGCGATGGCTGGTCGATACGAATTCCGCATCCAGTTTGCACCCACCACAGTGCTCACGTTAAATATCCTCAGTGGCAGACGGATCATGGGTTAGAGTCCCCTTGCCGCCAGGCTAACCGTGGGTGGTTCTCGTAATCTTCCTCTCCATGTTACGCAAATGCGGGTTAGTTCCATCAAAAAGTCCGCCTCGACGGCAAATTTCTCCCAATACTTGATCCAGGAGTTCCTTTGTCTTCAGGATTAGGATTAAAATTATAAGGCTACGGAGTTGAACATTAGCAATCGTAAACCCAAAATTGGTTCTGCTGTTCGACGACGGCTATAAAATAAAATAAAAAAGATTTAAACTTGTCACTTGAATAAGTTTTCCGATTGAGTATTTTCCCGGCGATGTAAGTCTGCAAATGCTTTTTTCATCTCACAAGGACAGGACATAGTTTTAGATCTTCAACCGGCACTTTTTTTTTGCATAATTGCCTTTCAATTTTAAGAAAATATTTACTGCAGACTTAGATCTTCCAATTGTTATCACAATATGACAACATACTTCTTTAGAAAAGTTTCAATCTATTCTCCTTCGTGATAATTAACTTCTTTCCTTTCACCTTCTTTACAAGGAACTCCAAAAATTCAATGAAAATATATGCAAAATATGTATATAGAAGTGTTTTCCAAATCTACATAGTTGATGCAATATTTAAGTTAGTATATGCATGTTTATTTTCTAAACTTATTGGTGGCTCATATTCATGCTTTACTCATACTGAAATACAAATTTTGTGCATTGCACTTTTTTCTAATAATTACATAATTATGAATCATGTTTGTTACGTTTTTTCTTGACAATATACTTTAAGAATTATTTTCGAAATAAAAGAGATTTAAACATTGTTATATTTTTCGATTTTCTTAAACCTATTAACTTAACCGTAAAGTTTAAGATTAAGAACATTTCTTTAACTTTACGGATTTAAAGCAGCTTACTGCTAGTATGTTTAGAAAATAGTGAATGCAAAACTATACACTTTTATACCCATTCGCAATCTGAATGATTAAAAAATCATAAAAATGAAATTAACTTGACATTGGAGTTCGAATGAGCAGTGGAGTTAAGTTGTGATTGACTTTTATTTTGTCAAACGAACAGCAAAATGTAGCCTAATCAGCTTTATCTAGCGGTGGCATCTATCGTGAAAAATGAGAAATACTAGATCTCCGTAATGCCAACTCTACATATATGAGAATTTCGTCACCAGTTCAGGAGTGCAAGACACTGGAACCTCCTCATGTGCTGAAGGAATGGAGGAAATATTGTGGCGTCAACTCTGGCATCAATACCCTTGTTTAGACTCGGCTAAAATTTCGGCCCAGCTAAACGGTGCTTAAGTGGCTTAAGTTGTTAACCACACGCTTATTAATATAAAAATATTATGCATCCTCATTGTGTTAGGTATCTGATGATTGAAAACAAATAGATGAATTCGTAATCCTTATCATATGGCTTAGCTTCCTGCTTTCGAAAAACTTGCCCTAGATTTTCATTGGCTGTGGGTCTAGCTCAGCGGTGCGCAAACTTTTTTCGATTGCGACCCCTTTTGTAGAGAGAAAATTTTTGGCGACCCCTAGAGATAAATGTTCACAAATACGATGTATATTTCGCGCATTTCTTTCGTTTCATCGGGAAAAAAAACATCATATTTGACTGATATTAATTTTATTTATAATTTTAAGAAAATACTTTTTGTATAACACAAAAATCAGTAAATTGCCCTTTAATGAGATGTATGTGGCTGCAAATTTCTAATTATCTCATCGATGTTTGGATGTATGTTGCTAATTGCAATTCGCATATCATCTTCAGGGTTTAAACGCGAGCGGTATTTAGTTTTTATTGAAACTAGTTTGCTAAATCCAGTTTCACATAAATACGTTGATGCAAATTGTATTAGCATTCTGATGACATTCTTGCATAAAACGGGATATTGTTTTTCCACGGATGGCCAAAATTTTTGGCAAGGCTGAGTCTTCGGTAGTCTCGTCCAGTTGTAAAGCAAATAGAGATGAATTTTGTATGCGTTTTATGACTTCTGACTCGATATTTCGTGACATTTCGGAAATCCAATTGCAATTAAACAGTGAGTGACGGCGCTTCACTCTTTATATGTACACTGTATGGTATGCAGCATGCAGGGATAATGCATTTCATAAAAATTTGGCGACCCCCAAAAAACTTCTGGCGACCCCCACAGGGGTCGCGACCCCTAGTTTGACCTGATAAAACCTGGCCCTGATAAAACCGTGATTGTTTAATAGTATTCGGTGAAAACAATCAATAAACTATTTTTCTCATTGTTAATAGTTTGAATACCACCTGTTTTGCTTAGTTTTTGAATTGTTTTGTTTGAATCTGGTTAAATAAAATTTAAATACATTTTTATTTTGTTGTTTTTTCCAAGAAATTTCTAAAAGTGTTCAATTTGAAGAGTGAAAAAAATTATAAATGTATAATTGCTCACTTTCTTAAAAAGAAATTCTTCAGTTTTCCTTTATATCAGTAAAAATAAATAGAATAAAATTATAAGTATTAAAAGAATATAACAAAGCGAATAAATTAAAAGTAATGAAAAATAAAATAATATTTTTATAAATATCTATAAGCTCTATTTTTAATAAACCACCTAACCAAACTCAATTCCTTTCAAATATTTCATCTGTTTAATTTCGTACCATTAAAATAAATTCTTAATCCATTTATAGAAATATGTACAAATAAAGTATCGACTCTTTAAGAACGCCAGCTGGAATTTTTTTAAGCCCGTTAAATCTAATAATGAATAAAATATGAAAAAAGTGAAATCGCTAGCCGCAAAGTTTAATTATAAAAATAAATATATCATCGCATATTACAACTTCTGGGCCAAAATGCGGAAATTGAACTGTTTCCATGGCAACAAGCGAATAAGAAGCTGAAAATTTAATTATGTTCCCAACAGCAAATCAAATAAATGAAGTCATAGCCATTTTATCGAAGGAAAATATAAATAAGTGTTAAAAGAATCAAATTTTAATGAAAAGAAATGAAGTTTGGCGGTATTTCGGGGGTTATTATTTCAATCATTTATGAGCGTTTGCGTTACACAATAACGTTTAAATCACTTTTAAGAGTACTTTAGTTTATTTAAAGCATTTTTATCAAATTTATTACGGAAAAGTGTCCAAAAATAAGATATTTTTAATGGTTGCATGTTAAATAGATGCAATGTATTTGCATTCCAAGAGAAATAAGGCTAAATAACTTATTTTATTGTTTAAAATATTACAACATTTATCATATGTCTGAAAAATATCTACACATATTTACTTATTCTTAAACAAAAAGTTGTAATAATGAATACGTGAAAATAAATTCGTACTTATCAGTTATTTTGAAGTAAAATGGTTGTAATAATATCTAGCTGTTGCCTGGTATTTTTGAATTTATTTTGTTAATCATTTGAATATTGAATATTTAGATACAAGAATGAAAAAGAACGAATATAACCAAATCTTAATGAATGAAAAATATATTAGTTTAATGTTAACGCCTCATGAGAGGTACATTAATAGGCTCTGGTAATATAGGCTTATAGTCCGTAAACAAAACTGGTTTATTATCACAAAATACTGCCACAATTAAAATCGAATGACAGATGTCAGTCGTAATCAACCTGTCTCCGCATCACAATACCCAACTTCTTAAAAGTACGTAAAAGTTTCTGACTCTGAAATAGCCGTACATACTCGTATTATATTGGTGTGGATTTTGAATCCTCCACCATCGGAGAAAGTCTAGTCAAACATCCAGCCTTCAGCAGGAAGATTCAAAACATAGCCCAATGTCATGATAAGCAAAGACTAAACCCACCACACCACCTGGGCATACAATATATAAGGAGGCATATCATCAATCGGTGGTCAGAACTTGAAACTTGGTTTCTAGAACCATAACTTCCTCCCTCAATCTAACCTATCTTGTTGCTTATTACAATTCCTTCTTGTATTGTAATTTGTCAAATTTTGATAGCTTCTTTACATTTTCTCATTTAAATATTATTTTGAAACCCCCAATGTGCTTTTTTTTTGCTTTAAGTTTTTTAAGAGTTCCATATATACATATTAGGAACAGTTTTTGCTAACTATTCTAAATTCTAAAATCGTTTTTATTTATTATTTTTTTTATAAATGAGCCTTTGATTTAATACTTTCATCTTGAAAATAGTTTTCAATGAAGATTAATCCTAAATAACGATTTTCTTAAACAAAAGTTTAGAATATTTTGATATTTGTTTTATTATTCATAGAAAAAGGAATACTATTAATTTTCTTTTGAATGGTAAAATTATTATGCGGTTATCACAGAACAATTTTTTTCTTTTAAAACATTTACCCGAATGTGTATAGAAATCTCTACAGTCTGTTTGCAAATTAAGAAAAAAACATTATCCCTAAAGAGAAATCCTGTTTGAATACATGTGCACGCCAAATAGCTGCCAAGCTCCCCACGCGAGTGTGTATCAACATTTAGAAACTGATAAAAGAATAATAAATATTGTTTTCGGCAGACGATTTTCTTCTAACAAAAATAAATATTCTTTATCTTGCACTTGATTTGTTAAGGGCATGTCAGCATAAGAAGCACCATTTTTAATGGTCCAATCAAATCCAATATTCTTGCAACGTCATACAGTTTTTTTCTTTTTTTTCAAGAACAAAAGTTCTTTTTATTTATCAAAATATGTCGCCAAGTCTAGGATTCTAGCATGGCTATGAAACGATAACCTTTTTCTTAATAATTCTATTATATATATCATAAAATATAACATGAATTAAATTTCTGTCTGANGGGGGGTGTTGTTTGTTAGAGGGTTGCACCCCCTTTCATATTATTCTGCCGGCGCCCTTGTCGCCAAGTCTAGGATTCTAGCATCGCTATGAAACGATAGCCTTTTTCTTAATAATTCTATTATATATATCATAAAATATAACATGAATTAAATTTCTGTCTGACGTGTTTAACATTTAAAAGCTTTTATATTGTTTTTGGTAGCATATTTGTAGAATTTGATAACGAACTAAAATGGAACTATATGCAGTCGCAGATGATTATTCAAATCCTATACCATATTGGCTTTTTCTTAGTTTGCAACTGTGTATAGTCATAACTATACCTTCTTATAATATAGCCAGTTACTCTTACGTATGCATATCGTTAAAAAACCGATGAAATTTTTAAGACAACAATAAATGTATAAATAATAACAAATAAAAACTCTTTAATAAAATTAAAAAAATTTAGTAGTTTAAATATTATTTAAATAAAAAAGAAGCTGAGGTAGCAAGTTGAAATCGTTTGTTTTTATATTTTATTCAATTTGAAAAAAAGCGTGAATTCTTTCAATATAACTTTTAGACTACACCCCCTGTTCGCTAGCTAACGCTCCTCCAACCCCGAAAACTGCCTTAAATCGTATATTCGCTTCACACGCTTCAGTTAAACCCACTTGAAAAGTGTTGGGACATAAAATTTGGCAATTATTAACTTTTGATCTAATTCCTCTGTAAAAAGTTTAAATATTTAGTCAATAATAAATTATTGTAATACATGCTTTGTCATCAACGTTTTCTTCTGCTCTTTGAGCGCACTTTTTTCTTATTTCATAATCGTCGTCAAATAGCCGACCCAATTTTAGAGTTTACGGCTACTAATGTTCAACTCCGTAGCCTTGCAATTTTGAACCCAATCCAGAAGGCAAGGGAACACCTGGATCAAGTATTGGGAGAAATTTGCTTTCGTATAGCTCATCAATAATGATACACAAACTTTTATTCTTGTTTCAGGTCCAACAAGCGGACGCGTGTTTAGTTTTAGCGAACAAATACTGCCAAGATCCCGATGCTGAAGACGCTGCCAACATCATGCGAGTCATATCAATAAAAAACTTCTCAGATGACATACGAGTCATTATACAGCTCATGCAATATCACAACAAGGTAAGAAAACAAATATTTTTTCTTGACACCAACGTTCGAAATTTATCTTTAATAACACGAAAAAATTAATATCGTTGAACTTGAAGTAAAAGTGGAAAAGTAAAAGAGAAGAAGTTTTAATTTACAAAATATAAAGAATTTCAGTTTATAATCGTTATAGTTATTAGACTTACCTCTTGAGTGTTACGATTTTAATAAGTTCAATCTTTGGATAAAAAAGAAGAAATAAAATTTGCATTCGATGAAAATTATATTTAAAGTAATCATTAGAATATGTAATTTTAATATTGAAATATATCGAAGCGATCGCCAATTTAATATCGGCTTGAAATATAGATGAAAATAATAATATTTAATTATATTATTATATTGAAGATGAATATATTAATATAGAGCCACTCCATAAAACATATCTTAAAATGTTGTTTTTCAAGTTTTAAATCTGAAACAAAGGTTCTCCGACATATTGGACGCAATCTTTCAATTTAATGAAACTAAGCTTAATGAAACTAAAAAAATTTTATTAGAAGTTCAATTAAAATAAATCTTAGAAGTTTAATGAAACTAATAGTAACAGTTTTTAATCTTTGTAATTAATATTCAATGCTAAAAATACTTAAGATAATTTATCATCTAATATTTTACTCGAAGCGAATATTCTGTATCATTTCATTCACTATTCTCAATAATCAATGACTATTGTATCGTCATCTCATCTATTAATGCTTTCCCCCGAATTGATTATGCTAATGTATTTGATTTACTTGGTATCAAGCATAGTAACTCAGAACGTGAGATGATTATTAATGATATTGGATTTAGCTTACACCTATACATTTATTTCTTTGCAAATCGATGCCAGACAGATATTTAAATAACCTAATAAAATAGCATATACGTTAATTAAACGGTTCGGGTAATTTCCAAGCACAGTGGAAAAGCAAATCTATCCGTGCCTTTTTCGAACAATAAGTGAATCGATTACCGATAAATTCATTAGTTATTTTCATTTTAACACGAAACTTTGAGTGTTCAAACGAAAGCGACTATTTATATAATATTTTACTGGAAAGTTAAAGCTTTCAAAATAGTATTAAGATTCCTTTATAAACGCGGTATAAGGATTAATAAGATCAATAAAGTGGGTATAGTAATTGAAAACTTATTTTTAAGGCACTTAAATAAATTTTAAATAAAAAAAATAGTAATCTGTGCAACTGCCTTTAACTTAATTATTTTGCGCTATCAAATAAGGAATTTCAATTATTTATTTTTTTACTCTTTTAATTACAATGGATTGATAATTAATGCACGTTCTTTACTCAAATCATTCTAAACATTTCCATACGTTTTCTTAAGTATATTAAAATCAACTTTCGTAATTAAGGAAACTAAACACAACTAATAGCATTAAACATATTGGCATAATTTTTGCTTCTCTGTATAAGGGAAAGTTGTTAATAGCTGAGCCACAGGTTTTTGTCACTCAGTTTTGGAGTCAAAATTTGCGATTTCAAAGTTTTTTTTTCCTCACTAGTATAATTATTATCTTCTTGACTACGCATTCCTTGGTACAAACGCTTATAACTATAAAAGATTAGTTAAATATTAGGACATTTCATTCTAAAAACTGCAATCTCCAATTGATTTCGACGAGTTGTTTTTTTTTAAAGTAAAAAGTTTAATATCTCAAACATAAGTTTCAGATTCATTTCAAAATGAATCATTAAAACTATTTTTGCATATTTATTATCTGGAATAAAAAATGATTCAATTGTCATACTTACTTTATTAGGAAATATGAGTAGGTTTGTTTTTAATTCGCTTCAGTCATGTTCTTATGTTTGATCTGCGAGAAATTTGTTTCACTAAGTATAAATAATTAAACTTTATCGATAAAAAAAGTATTTCTTTAATAATTTTCCAAGTAAATGCTTGTTTTCTTCAAAACTAATAAATTTAGATGTATTCAACTATTTTTTCATTTCAAAATTAAAATGATAGCGAAATTAATGTTGTTTAGTGTGACACAGAGTGTTCAATGAAATATTTTCTAAAAAAAGCATTTAGCATAATTCTAGAATACAAAACGAATCATTTTAAAATTTGGTTTTACACAATTCCAGAATCCAATTTCCTTAGAAATAAATCTTCACGTAAATCAAACGGAATAAAAAGAACTTTGGACGAAATTCCCACTAAAGAAGGGCCCTGAATTCATGAAAGTCAATAACTGCTTTACGAGTAAGAAAAGGAAAAAAAATCTATTTTCCTCCGCGGTAAATTAAATTTTAGAGAATTAAAGCAGAAACGCGAAACTTACATTACGAAAAACTTAAAGCAATGTTTCATTTTTAATATTTTTTTCTTCATTTCTGCAGTATTTCAAGAAAAACATTGATTTATTTAATGAAGTTGTGGTTTAATGCATGCTTTTTCAGAAGAAGAAAAAAAACATGACTGGTTAGTTAGGAAAACATATACTTTCCATTAACACAAGACAGGATTAATAAAAAAAAATATTTTTTAAGCAGTACCATTAGAAATATAAAGTTATTAAAAATGTGGAAAATAATGCATATTGTTCTCGCATGTAAACCAGTTTTAAGTTACTTTTTTTTTCAAACTTAAAACACTACAATTTTTTTCAGAAAACAACTTATCCAAATGGAAAACAAAAAGGAAATATTTTAAAAAGAAATCTGATGGATGCATTTAAAAATCTCATTGATTCGAGACAGTTAAAGTATTTATAAGAAACAGAAATAACAGGAACATTTAAATTATATGCCACTTATATTTATCATTGAAATACTAATAGAAGCAGGTAAATTAAGCATAATTAAAAAAAGAAAACGGACTCCTGTTTTTGAGCGCTTGAACCATGTCTACTGTTGTTTCTATTTTGAATATTTTTGAAGTGAATGAAGCTTTTAATCAAGTAATAACTTACCGCTTCAGTTTCTTCGGATTTCTTATTTAATTTAAGACTAAAATATGTTAGCATTAACTTATCAAACCGGTTTGTGAAGCCATTCGAAATTAAATACAAAATCAATTCAGGGGGCTGGTGAACACGACAAGCATGGAAAAATCTTAACTATTTTATTTCTCAAGCATTTTTTTTTAATTTTATGCATGTCAAAATTTTTAAAAAATAAAAATATCTATATTAAAGTCATTTTTATTACAGATAAATCATATTTATATCATTTTATCAATTTCATTATCAGTAAGTGATTCAATTTTTTAAAGATTTGATTCAACAAGTGATTCGAATCAGTTAGGGATTCGAACCTGTGATTCAAATCACCGAAGTGAACTGATTCTATTGATTCGAATCACGGGGAATTAGTTGCGTGATTGCTCAACTTAATCATAACTACCACGCTGGGATATCATATCTTGTCGAAAAGGTACTTACACTGTGAGTAAGCTATGGAAAAAGTTGACAAATACGTTTTAGCTGGCAGGAGTGCTTTGATCGACTGTGCAAGACATATTGACAGGACATATTTATTATACATACATCACTTGTTGAGGCAATAAAGCTCACTTTTTCTATTCTTGATCACTTTACTTTTAGCTATGTTTCCTAAAATTTCATATTATGTATAATTTATATTCATTTTATTATTGCATTAAGGAATTATACTATTTTTTATTAATTTAAATAAATATAAATATATTTACTTAAACATGCAAAGTAAGAGGAACTGAGACGTAATTTTCATTGAAATTCAAAATTATTTTTATAGCCTATCAAAAAAAAAAATAATAAAAGTTTGTACAAGAAAGGAAAATTGTTTTGATTTATGTGTATATGATATACATGTATATGATATATATGTATACAATACATAAGGTATACAATATATATGTATATGATATATTTATGTGCACTGACTTACATACCTAGGTTTACTTCATAACTTGAATTTTGAGAAATTACCAGAAATCAGAATTACATTGGTATATTAAATGCATTTTAATATATTCAAATGTTATCGAACATCTTCTATCCAAAAAAACCTTTTTGCGCCAGAAGAGGCATTTATCAACATCTACGAATGTTACTGGGGTATAATTGAATAATATTGTATTAGTTATACTGTCACTTTTTCAATTAAAAAATAACCAAACATTCTCAAAAAATGCTCAAAAATTAAACTAATATTTCAAACTCTCAAAAATGCCCTATATTATATAAAAATAAAATACTAGTAAAGGAGCAAAAAAGGCACAAAATACAAATGGCATCAGCAAACTCCAGGCCTTTCTGATGACTAATAACCAATAAGGCCTGGAATTTTTTATTCTAAGCATAGTAGCTTGCTTGCATACATATATAAAACGCAATCTAAGTGTAAATTCTCCTTGCTCTAATTAAAATTTTCCATTAGGCTTACTTACTAAACATTCCGAGCTGGAATTGGAAGAATGGAGATGACGTCATTTGCTTGGCAGAATTAAAGCTTGGATTCATAGCTCAAAGCTGTTTGGCTCCAGGATTCTCAACTATGGTCGCCAATCTTTTTGCAATGAGATCTTACAAAACGGTAAATATATTTAGATGATCTTCTTATTTTTCAAAGACTACAAATTACTAAACGATATCGATGAATGCTGTTCCCACGATTGACGTTGCCTGAGTTTAGAATTTGAGATGACATTTTATTTAATGCTATGTCACATAAAAAATTAAATTCTTGGGCGTGTACTCGTAACTGATAGACAATTACAAGTAATTAATATAGAGTAAATTCATTTGAAATAAATCTTAAATGCAATGTCTTATACTTTCTTTCCATATAATATCAACTTAAGTCATATAAATTACTTAATTAAACTTACGTAAAATAGTATCACAGACAGATTTCGAGAAAAAAAAGTTTCCTTTTGAATAGCTTTTGACGTCAAGATTGGATATTAGTGAATTACTACAATGACTCGTTATAAGGATTCATACAAGAGGCCTTAATCAACCTAAGAAATCTAAGATATCTTAATTTAACCTCATAAATTTAATGTTAACAATAAGCTATGAAATTAGAAGTAAAAGCAAATTTTTTCGAATACACATGTCTTCTTTTTTCAATGAATTATGGTACCTTCATACAATTTTCCTTTAAATTTAAAAACTTAATAAACGATGGGTGAGTTCCTCGACACGCTCCAAATTTCTTCAACTTTTGAAATGTAAGCAATCGTTGGGTTGACAACTTTTCGAACGATACAGTTCTTAATTTCCAAGTAACGTCACAACTGTTTTTTCAGTTACTTTTATTCATGATATTATTACTTTCTTTTATTGTTATTTATTCAATATTATCACTATTTAAATATTCTTGTCAGAAATGAAACTGCACCGGAAAAAATTAAAATCTTAATGAATATTAAATATCAATTCAGGATTTTTAAAAAAAACTTAGGGAACATTGTTAGTAAATTTGGTTTGACCGTTGTACTTAAAATGCACTATCAGCTTCTCAATTTCTAAATGAACATGTCATATGAATTTTTATTTTGATGGAAAAATTACAATAAGTACAATAATTACAGTCGGAGCATCCTTGGAAAATATTATGTTTTGAAAATAAATATTCAACAGATATTGCTTTCAAAAACTTTTAATTCAAATCAAAATTGTTCGTTTATTGCAGAAAGAAACGAACGAATGTTTTCACTCTTAAGTTTAAGACCAGTTACACTTTTTCGTCTGTTTTTGAATGGTAGTGCCATAGCATTTTTAAACGAGCTCCAAAAACTCCAAGTCAAGCGACTCACCCAGTGTATAGTAAGTGATTCCCACCAAATTAAAATTTTACCCATTAAGTTAACTACACAGAATGATATTATTTTTTTATTTCGCTCGTTTTTAAAATAAAAATAATAAAAATTTCACATATCTTTTAACAATGACTTTACGAAGCCTGACTATGACTATTACTATATCCTAAGTAAAACGTGCATTTCCAACGTAAAACGCCAATTAAAAAACATGCATTTTTTTTTTACTATCATACTGGCGCTCGCCTTTAATAAACTAATTTTAATGACCGCATAATATTCTTATCTTTTACTGATATTTCTTTTTCAGTTTTATTTTATTTCGCAATAGGGAGACTTTTTTTTAATATTTTGTAGTTAATATATGATATATGAACTATAATATAATGAGTAAATATATGAAACAATCTGTTGTTCTTCATACTGTAATTCTTAGATGTATCGAATAGAGTTTGTAATTTCAAGCATATCGTTGTAGTGGAATTCTGAAAAAACTATTGGAATTCTTTTCTTCGAACCAAACAAGAAATATATTATGTTATGAAGAAAAAAATGGCATATTTTATTGATTTTAAATAAATGGATTGGGTATATTTATGGTTCAAGCTCCCAAATGGGTGTAATTTCGTCTAATGCAAACAGCATTATGTACCATTAATAAGCTAATCATAAAGTGCTATAAACTATGTTTCATCTTATTTTATAGCAGGTGTTGAACGTCCGACCTAATTCTAAATTAATGATTATCAACTCCGTAGCCTTGTAATTTCGAACCCTAACATGAATACTAGGGAACTCCAGGATCAGGCATTGGGACAAACTAATCTTCGTGGTGAACTTTTTGGTGGAACTAATTCACATTTGCGTTACCTGGAGCGGAAAACAGCGAAAACCTCCCATGGTTAGACCGATGGCAAAAGGATTCTAACCCATGGTTCATCTACCACTGAAGATGTCTTATGTCAGCAGTGTGGTCAGTGCAAGCTGGGAGCAGAATTTGAATCAACCATCCTCTGCTGGCATTCGAACCTGGGTCTCCTTATTGAGAGGCGAACACAATATCCCTTATTCCACATCTGTTTTATAAACTATTTTTAGAACAAAACGAAAGAAAATAAATTGAAAATGTAACTGGGGTACCTAGAATTTGTAGCACAGGTATTCCGTTCCCTATATCGAAATTATCGTAAGAATTATGCTTAAAATTATCGTGAAGGCTATATCTCTGAAGGATTTACAAAAAAAATGAATTGAATAAATTGAATAGAATAAATGAATTGAATAAATTGAAATGAATTGAAGGAATAAATAAATTGAAAATAGCAAACAATTCTACATTCAACGAAAGCGTAAGCAATAAATAACTTAATTTCTACATCTCCAAAAATCTTGCAATCCTTTTGCCGCTAATATGATTAAACGGTCTATTTTTAAATATCCTGAGATTTATATTTTTTTCTTGCAATAAGAAAAAAATATATAAGATTTAAAATGAAGCGTTCATAAACCTGTCAGAATCGCTAATGAGTTATGACTTTCACCTTCTGAAATTTCTTTCTTTGATAAAAAAAAAAATCTCTCTATTGAATTCATCGCTTTCTTTTGTGTTCCGCCTGTCTTTCATATTCAGAAAGCTTTTCTTGCAAACTTTATTAAATATGGCGCAAGGCGTGAGAAGAAAAAAAAGTACGAAAATAGTTGAGCATTTTTCATATAAATATATATAGTATTTGCGCCATACAGTTTTCTAAAAATGAATTGCATAGCTCTTATAAAAGAGGGCATATTTTTCATATAAAAAACATGTCCTGTCTTGAATGTAAATAAGTAGGAAAAGATTTTATTCGATTTAAATAAAATGTGTTCACTACCTTCGATTTATTTTTGTATTTCGTATTACTATTCATTTAAATGCCCATTTTAAAATGTTCTCAAAATATAACTTTAAAAAGATTTTGTACATTTTTTCTTATTTATTGCAACATTTTTGAATTCACATAAAAATTAGACAACAGAATCTAGTAAAATTCAGTTTAGCAAAACAAGATATTTTGAAAAAGTTGACTCGACTATTTCTTTCCATTTTTTATGCATGCAACAAGTCCTATTTACTGAGTAAAATAACTTTTCAGGCTTTATATTGAATAAGAAATTCAGAAAAATGTATTTAAGGCAATTATATTTTTCAAGCTTCTCTTCACTGAATAAATTGATTTCTTATCTCTTGTATTTCTGTAAAATTTAAATAATGGCTAGAAAAAAGCAATTTAAATTTTTACTAACTAGTCAAAGTTGAAATTATTTCATTAACTATTCCCTATTCAAGAATCATGCTTTTGTAAATATTTGAATTTAACTTATTCAGATTTCATCTCATAAGAGGAGAAGAGATATTTCTTTCTTCTTTATTATAAATACCTGCACTTTTTTTATTATAGATTTTGTATCAAATTCAAATGCTTTGAAAACAAACCTTTTATTTCAATACAAAATATTTTTAACGCTACAATGACAATACTTTTTTTGTTACTTTTCATCACGTTAAAAATTCAAATAAAATATCCAAAGAAATTGAGTATTTGATCGGTGCAATTAAAGTAGAATGATCAAACCACATTCAGCAAAAATTTTCCATGCAATTTTAAAAATAGTGAATTGTTTATTCTTTCTTAGTTATCTATCTCAATGTTCTTAAAGATTTTAATTTTTTGATCTAGTTTAATTTTCACATAGAAATATTTAAAGTATCGATAAAGAAAAATATTTTTGAATAAATAGTAATAATGTCATGTGAAAATTAAGAATTGGATCAATTGAAATTGAACCCTTTAATGACTAACTGCTGTTGAAGAAATTTGAAGCTGGCTCCATAAGCTCCGGATATTGGAACTGACACCCGGAGTAAAAATCAAAAAAAAAAAATCAAAAAAAAAAACAAATCAAGGAAAAAAAAAAGCATATATTTTAGCATTTTAATCTACATTAATTACTTTCTTGCCAAATTTTGAACCTCTCCTGCTTCAAATTATTATTTATAAACCTTCGCGTTACAATATTATTGTTACAATATTATTTTTTTTTCATTTAGAACTAAAATGCACCTTAAAAAAGGCATAACTAAAGTAGCATACTTAATGCATAAGAACAATACAATACGTTTTGTGGAAATCATTAAAAATGATTAAATTATTTAAATATTTTTTATCTCAATCAGCAAATCTATTTGCACGAATCAGGTCTTTTTTGGAAAACTTAATGCGAGTTAGAAAAGAAAACTAGACTGGGTCACATTTATGCATTTCAATATTTTTTTTTCCTACGAGCCAAAAATAGTTCTAAAGAAATATTTTTAAAAGAAATTGTTCTTTGTAGAGTCCTGACACTCCTAAATGGCAAAATGACTACCTTTGTGGTACGGGAATGGAAATGTACACAGAAACTTTGTCAACTTCATTCGTAGGAATGAGCTTTCCTCAAGCTGCCGAGTAAGTGATATATTGATTTAAGAAGAAAAATTGCATTTTCTAATGTATTAAAAAAATACAAATGATTCCTAAAATCGTTGCCTCGATTTAAGAGTTTTTTTTTTTTNTTTTTTTTATTTTTTTTTTTTTTTTTTTTTTTTTTTTTTTTTTTTTGCAATATTATACTTTTAAAAGATATTTACTTTCTTATAATTTAGACTAAAGAAAGGGAAAAAAATTCACAGAATAAATAAAAGCACAGAAAATAATTAATATTTTAATGCATACAATAAATTTTAAATAGAAATTAGAAAGAAGTTAGCTAGCAAAATTTTTTTTTTAAATTCTATAAAAGTTTTTAAAAAAATTCAATTTAATAAAACTAATGATACATTATAATTAACGAGTTTTTTAAATATAGAATTATGTATCAATATGGTTAACGTAAAAAATTAATTATAATAATATCGCATCTCGTATTTGACATCTTTAAAATATTTATTTGAAAAAATTAAGAATTGCTCGAGGTAGTAAAATTATCACAAAAGTGCCATGTTCGATTCGTAAGCACAGATCTATTTAAAAATCACTAATGAATATCAAGTATATTTAGAAAGGCTGCTTGATCCTCAAAAAACAATGGAGCGTATCTCTCAAGGTATGAATTCCTAATTGAGTTTATTATAAATAAAATATTTTTTATTGATGTAAATATAATAAATCATTACAAAGCCAATGAATCAAATTTTATCAAAACACTAAGACACTTGTATTTCCTTCGCAGGTTATCTTTCATGAAGCTCAAATTACGACTATTAGACGAAATAATATGAAATACTTCTGTACATTGAAATATATATTTTTTTGAAAACATTTCTACTTTTCTGCGTCGACAGTATAACTAAACACTTGCATTTCTTTATTGCTATTTTCAGGTTATGCTTCGTGAAGTTGAAACTCCTTCTATTGGCAATTGAAATAACCCATGACGATGGTTCTGATTCAAAAATATCTATTAATCCTAAGAGCCAGACAAAATTGACACCCGATACTCAAGGTTTCTTTATTGCTCAATCAGCTGATGAAGTGAAAAGGTATGGTTCCTACAGAGATAAGACTTTTGCTTTCGAATCTACTTAAAAATGTAAGAGATGATAGATTGTATAGACTAATATTTTCGAAAAATTAACAGCAAATATTTGCTTAATGTAGTAAAGAGGTATTTAAGGAAGCCAACATTTTTCCAAAATTGCTTTTATTCATTGCTATTTACTACCCTCGCTGACTTTACGTTATTAGATTAAGCAAAACTCATTTTTAGAAGATCAACCCATCAAAATAAAGATAGACTATATTCGTTATTATTTAGCATGATGACATTGCGCGCGGCTGACACATAATAATCAAAATTTACCACAGCCAAGCTACTTTTTCTGATACTAATCAATTTACTAATCAATTAGTAAACCTCTGTCCACAGTACCAACAAACCGTATATTCCAGGTGTAAAAGGCGACCCATTGTGTAAGTCAACCCCGTATGCTGTTCACCTGATTTCAAAATTTTTAATTTCGTTTTTTTTTTTTTTTTTTTTTTTTTTAAAGTCAAGTCAACAAAATTTTCTCAAGTTAAAAATATTTTACGTTCTCTTCTCTGGATATGATACATCTACCCTGGATTAGAGATGATATGAGGCACGCACTTAAATAAAGCTCAATATTTCATTCTGAAAGTTTTTTTTTAAAAAAACCCTTCATGTGTAAAGAAAATATGATATGAGAAAATGCAAAATTAACTGTATATAACGTACTAAAAATACATTTTAAAGGAGATAAATTGGTACAGAGTTATATCTATCCAATATTCATATCTATCCAATACTTATAATTCATGGATATTTCCCGATTAAAAGGATATCTGATTCTATTACCGGTACATAAGTTGACACCCTGGTTTTCGTAAAATTTTGGCGATTTGAAAATTCGACCTATACCCACGTATATACTGTAAGTACATTCGTTAATTATTTAAACAACACCCGCAGTGCCTATTATCAAAATTAACTTAGTCTAATTAGTATCAATAAGGGGGTAAGAGGATTTTTTATGGTCTCACCAAACCTCCATTAATTTTGCATAACTTTTTTCATTTCAATTACAGTTAATTTTAAATTACTAGGTGGCTTCGCCCCCTGCTCGCTGGTGCTCACCAACCCCCGGAACTGACTTCGCAGTTCATTTCGGATTGCTTCGCAATCCGATGCTCGCTTTGCTCGCTCATGGGATACGTTCTTAACATCTAGCTTTTGTATACTTTTTTGAACACTGAAATTCCGAAAACTTTTCACTGTAGGAAATTCCAAACCTGTGCATTTCAATATTAATTTGAAATTGCAAACAGTTCACATATTTTTCTTAATCACACTATTCTAAATTTCAGTTGTTGAGAAAAGCAACTGTTGTAAGTTTTGTTTTAAAGTCTTTCCCACCAGAGGGCTAAAACCATGTGTTGTAAAACAATATGAAATAGTACTGAACGCCGGATGTAAAGCATCGGCTTCGATGAAGATAATTTTGTGAGAATTTTTTTGATAATTCGGTGAGAATTCACCCGATTAGACATATGATGCTCACTACGTGCTCTTGCGCGCCGAAGCCTATCAATTAAAAATGAAAACTGTTGCCAACGCGAGAAAAGAAATATCATCGGTTTTATTGATACATACGTACGTATTAGCGTTTTATATAATATAGATTTTTTATAAAAACACGTTTTTAAAGTGCAACTGTAAACAAAATAAAAACTTTGTTTCAGATTAACTCGGAGACGTTAACACTTACCATCCACGCTGATTCTTGACCTAACCTGATACAATGAATAAAAATAATTAACTATTAAATAACGTGGAATGTACTTCTTTTTTCATTAAATGGAGCTAAAAAAACATCTCCATAATATTTTTTTAATTTTTTTGAAAAAACAGAAAGCCTTTATAACAATACCTAATACTAAGCCTATAAGAAAATTTCATTCTCTCGAACGAACTAATTTAAATTTTTGAAACAAATTTTAGGATCGGACTCAAATTGCCCTTTGCACCTGCTTTCCAAATTTCAAAATTCTAGCTCAAACAATTAGTTAAAAGCGAGGCGCACTTTATTATTATAGATATACTACACGGAGAAAATAATTCTGGTAAAATTACCGTACTCTGCTGTAATGATATTTCTTTTGAAACAAACCATAATTCTGGTAAATGAAACCGAAATAAATAGTACATAAATACTTCATTTCATAATTTTTTCAGTTCATATGGTAACAGTTTATTAGAAATTCTGATTTTCAAAATTATAGTTCTTATTACCACACATTTATTAAAAGATACAAAACTGAAAACAAATTTAAAGGAATAAATGGTTTTTAATGCCATTCTCTAAACTATCATGATAAAATAACCAAATTTAACCTCGTTTACCGAATATATTTTAGTGTTAATTTTGCCAAAATGGTTACCATAGCCCTTCGATAAAAATTACCGAGATTTTTAGTGTTCCCATAGAGTCAGAAACATGATAAATTTTACCGTATTATGGTAGTTTTGACCATACTTTTTTCTTGGTGAAGGGAGTTCCCTTATTCGCTGCTGTGCAACAATCCTGATAATTACTACGCAATAATTGTTATTTCTTGTCAGAACACTCTTTATCTTAGCATGAATCAGCTTTTTCTACGAACGTTGAAATAATTCACTTAAAATATATTCAAATAATCCTGTTTGCTTACGTTTGTGCCCCTACTTCTTGCGTCTAACTTTTCCTTAAATTTAATTTTTATTTTGAGTCAAATTTAATTAGTAAATAGCATAAAGTATATCGCATGGTTATATTTTCCTTATTATTCTACTAAAATCTATTAGTTCGTGTGAGGGAAAGCTTTGCTTCTCCGTCATTAGCCGTATAGTTGTATAGTGCAGTACATGAATGTTCATTTAGGCCATTAATGAAAGAATTGAACAGTTGAGTTTCTAGGAAATAATGTACAAATCGTTGAATGTAAATTTAAATTTTATTAAGCATAATTTGATTCAGACAGTGGCCACATCTTCATCCTAAATAAGAAATGCCTTAAAGGGATGAAATTAGAAAAATACTCTCTATTGAGAGATCATAAAGCCAGAACAACATTTCTGACGGTTAGAAAATTGAGACTGGGAGGCCCCAAAGGGCTCCCAGCCTCCACAAATTTGAAATTAAAAGTGAATATATTTATTCTCAACGGACAGAGAAAGTATGGGCAGGAGATCCAAGATTTGGCGATTTATCATAATATATCATAGCCAAAAACAAAGCCAACTAGCATAACCACATGGGTTAAAAAGAACACCTTGGCGATCACGAGTCGCCAACAAATTTATGTGAATTATTATAACCATGCAACCGAAACATTTAGCCGTTGGAAAATTAGAATAAAAAGTTATAAATAGATTTTTGTTTTCGATTAGAGGCGACAGTGAATTAATATGTCTGCATAATAATGAAATAAAAAGAAAGTATCCGTTACATTGATCTGGAAGAGAAGAAATAAATATTTTATGTTCGTTTAAAAAGATTAAGTTTTTGATTTATTTTAAAAATAATTCTATTAATAAAAATAAGCTTAAGTAATGAAGGATATTTTAAAAAGATAGGAAATACATATGTAATGCCAAATTGTGGCATCACAGTTCGCATAAATAATTTTTCTTAGCAATATTTTTTTGAAATAGCGCTTAAAATGTTATATCGCTTAAAATGTTATAACAAATTTAGTGAGTTCGCAGGCGTAATTTATTATTTTAACTTACCAAACTGGCTGATATGATAAAATCAATTTGTGCATGAAGCTGATCGTTAAGTTCTAAATCCTCTATGGTTTTTTATAACAACATATTAATGCAATTTGCATCAAAAAATAATAAATGTAAAATGATTAATAAATTTAGACAGAGATTCAAATAAGTTTATCGTTAAATGTAGCGCAATAAGGTAATATCATAAAATTGAATTATATTAAAGAAATAACTCTTTTAATTTTAAAATCTTATTGTGAAAAACAATCAAAATCAAAAACGTAATAATAGCAGAGTAAAATAAATATTACGGGTAAATACCTTGGAGTTTAGAATACAAAAATATTTTACAGGAAAACAAAATCTTTAATACTTTTCTAATTTTATGCTAATAAAAACTGAAAAACTATAGAAATCAGTGTAATAAAATAGATTCTACCATGTGATTTTTTTTGCCCAGTTAAAATGTACTGACAACAATGGAGAGCTGTGACGTCATCATTAGATTTTTATATATAGTAAGATATAAATGCAAACTCCTTTTGAGTACTCATTCATAATTAACGTAAAAATTTAGTTAATTAAAGTATTGTGATTTAATTTACATCTTGCTGTTAAATTTGTTATTGATAAAAGATTCTTTTTTTAATCCTTTCAACTGAATTTTTAGGGTTTGGTATTATTGCAAAAACTGTCATGAGGACGTCAGAGACGAAAAACAGATCAAAAAGTGCAAGTGCAAATATCGTAAGTACACGAATATTTTTTTTATTTCTTATTTTTTATGCTATTATTTCAAACATAAAAATGAAGTATAAGTAGAATATAATTCTTTTGAGCAAAAGAAAAACCCAAAATTTTTGAAAAAAAAAATTGTTTTATTTATGGGAATAGAATTTTAAATAAAATGTTAACTGAACATTAATTTCCTTTGTTAATTCAGTCACTAATGAATTACAGCTGAACAAAATACTACTGGAGCTTTATATTTATCGCACTATATGCGATAAAAAATTATTTGAATATAATTGTTTGTGCGCATTTAATATGTAGTGTACATGTGCAATATACAAAACTCGGAAGTTTAAAATTATTCAAAGGAAGATTTTTGTAAGTAATTATACTTTAAAAATAATCACGAAATTTAATGCTTCAATGTATTCATTAAAGCAAATTTAGTTATTATTATCTTTAATATATATAAACG